GAGAAAAGTCTGTTACCGCTCGCCGGGCTGGGCAGGTTGATGACAAATTGATTTTCCTATTCAACTTTTAATGCTGGTCGATGTTTTTTATTTTGCGCTTTAGACTCTATTAGTGAAAAGCCGTCATATTAAAAATTCTTTCATATAGTGTATTCACACAGCGTTCGGCATTGAAGAAAAAATCAGACCATTTTGAAAATACGGAATAGATGTAGTCGAGTTGATATGTGCCATACATACAATTTATTTAAACTTACAAGTACAACTGCCGTTAAGGCCGTTATAACACTTTGGTGTTACAACTGTCAAAACTGTTTAAAACAAAATGTTTTCCAGACAGTTTTGGACAGACTGCTTGAGTTGCTCCAACAGCTAATTGGATAGCATTGAGAAAGGAAACATTATTTCTTGAGGGAATATTATCAGAAATTAAGGAAATATGTCAAAATCTGAAATCGAGAGCTGAGAAAAGAAAATTTTGGGGTTTATTGGGGATATTGTTGTCTAGTGGTGAGATAACTTATCAAGCCCCACGTCGGTGAAATAGTTTCGAAAACTCCACATCAAATATACGGAAAGCACTGATCTAAAATTTCCAAAAGGACATATACTACGCACATGTGCCAGTATAAACTAAATAGAAATCCATAAGCTTGGCAAAGGTGTATAAGTGGTGGTAGCAGCATGGACTCGGACTCGAAGTCCAACCTCCATCAAAACGGGTTGATTATTACGAAATAGTGTAGGTCCGAATAACTGCGGTTGATAAGGAGTTACTTAATTAAATGAAATATAAGGGTATTGTCCTGCACATAAAATTTAACGGATGTTGATAAGCTTCGTTGGCTTCTGGTAATTGTTTTAGAAGCCAATACGTTTAAAAAATGTGACGACACTTCCTCTATCATAAGAGGCCAGCTCTAAGGCATATGCATATGTCGAAACTAATTGAAGAAAGCTAAGAAAAGAAAATGAAGAACTTTCAGCTTATCGCTATATGGGTTTGGTTTGGTTTATGTGATTACGGCAAAGCTTGGTGGGCTATTTGTCTTAAGGGAAGACATACATTCGTGGTGGACGTTCTAAGGGATTACACAAGGGGAAATCCTCGAAATCGCCCATGTAACCAGCCTGTTTGCGGGATTCGAAGCTCGGACTGACCTACCAGTGTTCAGCGACTTTACCGCTACGCCGCTTGTCAGCCCTCGCTAAAATGGGAACGATTCTATTCTTGACTAACAAATAAACTTCAGCTACACAAACTAGTGCACAAATAAACATCTATCAGCAACACGTTTGTCGGAAGGTTCGGGAGTGAAAGTCCTCCAAAAAGAACTATGAAAGCATCTTTGCATTCCAAAGAAGTTCTTGTTTATTATTTAGTAGTCTTCTAAGGGCGTTATTTACCATTCATTTTTTCTAGAAGGTTAAATGATAAATGATGCTCCACAAATATGTGCAAAATACCTCATAAATTGAGTCTTAAGCTATAAGGTATTTCTCTCGCCTTCTTAGCATGCCTTCGAAGTATAGTGGTCAGCACGCTCGACGCGTATTCGAGAGGTCCGTGGTTCGAGTCCTGGAGAAGGTGTTGATCATTTTTCACATCTTCTGCTTCCAAAAAAATCCTATTGTCTCTTCAGTGGCGCCCGAACTAAAAGGTGGTGAATGATGATTCTTCACCACTAAGATTGGGTGACTGGGTCCCCTAAAACACAGTCGCCCTTTAAAAGGGGTAGTATATAAAGTATTTCTTCCGCCTTCTTAGCATGCCTTCGTAGTGTAGTGGTCCACACGCACATTCGAGAGGTCCGTTGTTCGAGCCCCCGCGAAGGCATTGCTCATTTTTCACATCTCCTGCTTCCAAAAAATCCTAATGTCTCTACAAAAGCACCAGCACTTGTTAACAGGTACAGCATTAGAGTAAATTACAAACTCATATGGCATTCTCAATCACACAGGAAATCAGCAGTGTTGGCTTCGGAATTTCGCTTTATTGGCATGCTTTTAACTACACTGGTGAAATAAATTAAGAGATGGTTCTCGGAGGGAGGTTGTGAGTTGCCGTTGCTATCCCCAGAGTGTCCCAGATATGCTCTATAGGGTTGACGTCTGGAAACCTGGCTGGCCAATCCATCTGGCGAATATCCTCACTCTCGAGAAATTCGTCGACCAGAAGAGCTCTATGTGACCTCACGCTATCGTCCTGTAAGATGAACTCGGGGCCCACTTCACCGCGGAAAAGGCGAACACAGGGCTCCAAGACCTCATCCCTATAACTCACACCAGTCACAGAACCTCTGTCAAAGACGTGGAGAAATGTGCGGCCATCCAATATGACACCTGCGCAGATCATTACACGACCACTGCCATAATTGTTGATTTCGCGGACATTGGGGAGTAGGTAGCGGGTTTCTGGCTCTCTCCATATGAAAGTACAGTGAGAATCGGCGTTTATGCTAAAACGGGAATCGTCGGTGAACAGAACGGTCGCCCATTGCTCCGTACTCCAATCACTATGCTGCTGCACCATGCTAATCGGACTTTCATGTCCTTAGACGTGAGCGGGACGCAAACAGCCGGTCTTCTGGCAAACAACCTTCTCTCATTCAGTCTTTTAGAAACAGTCAATCTTGTTACACGAGTTCTTGTGGCTGCATACAGGTCCCGAGAGAACTGAGAAGCTGTAGCCCTTGTGTTAGCCTCGCTGAAATGGACAAATAGCAATCTTCTCTGACCGTCGTGGCTCTTGGACGACCTTGCCCAGACTTTCTCTCGATGGATCCAGTATCTTAGGACTGTTTCCATAGGTTACTCAGACGCTGGGCGTTAAATTAAACTTCTCTGCATATCTGGACTTGCGATTGGCCTGTCTCTAGCCTCCCTACAATTCGCCATCTTATTCCATCATCTAAACGTTGGTGGTTACTCATTTTTACTGTTCCGATGTGAATTTAACCGATTGCTGCAAGATAACGCCAAGAAATTCGCCGAGGTGTGCTAGCGAAAGTAATTCGTCTTACCCTCCACGCGCTTATAAAGCCTGTTTTTCTGCTGTCTCCGCCAACACGCACGTGTACTCTTACATAATTGCCGTACAAGATTTGCATTTTTATCTAGAAAAAGTGGTTTTTTTCCTTTAGGTCAGTTTTTCTTCATGCAATTCGATCAAACATGCAGATTCTCTTAATTTATTTCACAAGTATATATAACCTCCTTCATGATTTTCATGAGATATTTTAAGAGTATTTTATCCACATTTAAGTTATAGAAGTGATAATTTGTGATGAAAATTATTTAGATAATTTGGGCATATATTAATGTCAATGCATGCGTTAGTTAAATACTGCAAGCACGCAAATATCCCTCAAAACTGTCAGAACTTTCATCAAAATTTACGCGAACATTTGGCAGAAACGAACAAAATAAAGATTTAAATAGGAAATATTTTGTAGACGGATGAACTCTAGTATTATAATTTGTTACAAGAGTAACTATTTGTAAAGAAAGAGACAGGATGTTTTTATATTTATAAATAAAGTAATAAAATATAAACCTGTAAGATTTCCCTCACTTCAATGAGGCGATACGTAGTTGTGATGAAAGGCCAAAGGTTAGGTACCGTAACGTTTTCGACAGAGTACCCACGTCATGTTTAAACCAAGTTAATTGGATTATATTTCTGTTTCGTCTCCATCATATCAATAATTCTTTTAATAGTTGGATATGTATAAAATGCACTAACTGAAGAGACGCACTTACCTCTGAAATATTATCATTTCATCTCCTGATTAATATCTTGTTTACTTTTACGATTAATATCCAAAACCCTAATAAGTGTTCGCTTTATATTTACTTCCTGGTGGATGCCAGAGCAGCTGTTTTTTGCTAAAGTCACGTTTTCCATTAGACAACGAAACCTATCAGGGCTATTATTTCGTTTCGAAGAGTATAATACAGGGTGTATATAATTTAATCACCGAATAAAAAAAAATGAATTGAAACGTAATTTTACAGAAGTAACAATTTATATCAATAAAATCTTCAGTTGAAGGAATTTCGTTTATTCTGACTTTTGGGAACTATAACAAGGAACTAGTTTATTTGCAAACAAAATGGCGTCATTCATTAAAAAACAATGTGCGTTTTCTGATTATGGGAGTAGAACTGTTTAGAGGTCATTCCTACGTGAATTTAATAAACCTCCACTATCGGAAAAATCAATTAAAAGATGGTTAAAACAGTTTCCAGAGACCGGACATGTTTTGCATAAAAGAAACCAAGAACCATGTAGACCAAGCGTCAGTGATAAAAATTTTTTTTTCACCATTCGAAGATGTGTTTATGTGCAGTCCCAGTTTTAGCCTACCAACAGGAATTTTCAGGTCAACTATTCATAAATTTGTTCATGAACGATTGAAACTAACTGCATAAAATTCAAATTTGTCAACAAATGAAACCTGTCGGGTCGTGTTCTCTCTTCTTTCACATAAACTAAATTAGATCCTACACTGAACCTGGCGAATTCTCGCACAGGCTTGAATAACTACCACACACAAGAAGGGTGAAAATAACCTTTTTTTAATTCAAAATATTTAACAGAAAGCTGAATGCTGAATTTTAGATTGCTCCTTGTTCCGAAAATGCCTAATAACTGTGTAGCTGAGTACGCGTTAATCTGTGGTGGATGATTAATCATCGCTTGGATTTGGCCAACTGATTTCAAGTCTTTCCATAGTCATGTTTTCGGTTGCGGAGAATATGGAGAATTGTTGCTTTCCCCATCGCATGCTCTAGTGGTATAAGCGGTAGAACGTGTGGCTAGCATTTGGAAGATATGGGATTCTTATGTCGGTGAAGGTGTAAATGATGTTCGGCGCTTTTATCCCCGAATATAACGTGTCTAATTACCTTATCTTCGAATAATTTTTTAGCCAGACGAAAGAAATGGGGCAATAACTTTATGCCTTCTTGCTTAATTTAAGTTTCCTCTTTTTCAGGTTTTCGGAGAATGGATATTGGGTGCTGCAGCGTGTAAGGCTATAGTGTATGGCCAGATAGTTACCCTTGCAAGTACAACATTCATTTTGACTACTATGAGTTATGATCGATACCAGGCTATATGCTCTCCACTCCACAGCACAGGAGGAGTGAAACAAGCAAAGAGAATGATTGCTGCGTCCTGGCTGCTAGCTTTCATCTTTGCTATTCCTCAGATATTTATATTCGTACAGGTAAGTCATTAGTGAAGTAATTGCGCTTAACTACAAAGCCATTGAAAAGGCGATATTCAGCGGTATAATGCAATAGCTTCTTACAACCAATGCAATAATTTCTTTAAAACCTAATGCAATAGTTTCTAATTGCACCATCACATATAAAACGCCTGGTATGCTCAATGTGGAATATTTTTGTATAAGAAAAGCCGAATGAAAGGATAACCTAACATTTGATGAATCTGACGAAGCAGTCAGTTTCAAAACATTTGAAACATTTCAAAATATATGATTATTAGGTAATTACTACGACTTTTATTTCTTAGCAGAGGCAAACGTCAATGAGTCAAATTTTTATTAGCACGTAATTTTCAAAATAAATTTATATGAAAGCCGAAATAAGAACACTGTTTCTAATAAAGATTATCTTAAAAACTGGAGCTAATTTAAGTTTTAAAAATAAATTATTCTGTTTATGAAATAACAGAATTGAAATTAATTATAGTTATTGAAAATTAAGATGCCGCCTGGAAATTTTTAAAAGACTGAAAGGAAATAGCTTCGCAATTATTCGTTTATTGTAATAAAATTTCTGTTGCAATTCATTGGAAATTACTTTCAAATTTAGAATTTAATTTTAATTCTTTTCTTTGATTTATAAAATGAATAAAATTTGAATGATAATTAATTTTTCCTTTGTTACAGAAATTTTCCTTTATGCTATTTTTTCCTGAAAGGTGTGTAAATTTAAAGTTTATAGTCTGTGCCTTTAACATAGTATTATATGGTTATTTAGAAACAGCTTTAATATAGCAAAACTTTTCGTTGACGTAAAGCATAAATTCAGCGAACCTGTGTTTAAAGGACATTGCAAAAATAACCTTTATTTTTTAATTTGATAATACACTATGAAATAGTAGATACAATAAACTATTATGTGTAGTAATGCATTTATCTGAAATTTTATGATTTAAGAAAACATTGACAACGAAAGATAATTTTTTCTTCTTATCAGCTATAAATTTCAGTTATTAGTATCACCTAAATAATTTAACGGTATTTTCCTTTTATCTTTTTTCTTTTGATGTAAATTTTGCTTTTAGGCATAAATTTAATTGAATGTTTACATACCTGATGGATAATTTATTAAAATGTTTTGCTCACTCCCTTATTTTAATGGTGCGTATATGACCCCTAAGAAGAGCTTTAGAAAAGTTCTGTTTGAATGCTATTAAAGCTCTGATAAATTTAACAGCAAACCTTCTAGGCTATGAGAGTTTTTTTTTTACTTTCCGATATGTGTGTGTATGGATAAAGTGCTGCAGGAACTCTTCGTTTGGATGGAAAAAGCAATTAATAAGAACGGATCGTTTTAATCTCTTTTTTAACACCTCATTTGTGGAAGGAGGAGGAACTTTTTTTTTTATTTTCATCGTTCTTGGATTGATCACCGATATATCAAAATGGGTTAAATTCCAACTGCAAATAGAATTATTTACAGTTGGCTGGCTATTAATTTGGAGGAATTCTACTAACTTTTCCTCTAACTCAAGTGATAATTCTAAATCTTTTATATGATAATTTGCTTAACAAATTAACAATATACCACAAGCGCGTTTCTGATATGTTTAAAGATAAACAGTCTTCCATTATCAACAATGATGACCGATAAGTTTTGTTTGGTGTGTTAAGTCCTATTATAAAAGTATACATTTGAAACTTGAAATAAAACTACAGAAGAAATTACTACAGAATGAAGGCATTTTGAACATACTATCTCGATGTTTTAATCAAACTGTAGAAAACGACGACTCTTAAAAGCATTTTAATATTTTATAAATTTTACCTATCGACAAATAAGCATACCCTCTATTTAAATCAGTGATTATTTTGTTCTTCCAATCTTAACGCTAACAGTTCAAAATGCACTTTTTCCAATATCTCTTAACTCTCATTGTATTTAATGTACACACTCGGCTTTCACCACAGTTAACAATGCCCTTCATTTTAAGGGACTAAATAAGATGTGAGGCTTGAGAATCGGGAACAAACTTTAATCTAAAACACTGCTGTCAACGTTTCTTTAATATATGCACTTTTACACGATAAATGTCCTTAAGTGTTATAAGTAGAAAACGGCGTATCACAGTGCAGAGTCATTAGGTTTTTTTGTGTTGGAGACGGGAAGAATGTATAGTATCTTCGCCGGGATTCGAACTCTGAACCTCCCGAATATGCGTCGCTTGTGCTTCCAGTTACACGCCGAAGGCATACTAAAAATAAGTAGAAAACCTCTCATAACACAATAAATGATACGTTAAGCACTTTACCTGAACGTTATACACTCGGCTGTATAATTTTAAAAAGTAATTTTACATGTAACGATAATCTACCGATGCATTTAATAGGCTGCGTTGTACGCAAATTGGAATTCAACAACTCTTTTTTATGCGTGCAAAAAGGATTTCATAAAGGATTTTCTGTAATAAAAGTCTGCTTGTGAAATATAAAACTGCTTTAATGCTATTAAAATACATTTCTCATAAAGATAAATGAAACTCTGCGAAATGCTTTCTGCTTTGAAAATATTAAATGAGCTTAGGAAAATAACTACTTGACAAAGAGTCTAAATAGAAATTAATATTTGATCAAGAAAGAGGTTTCATGAATAAATACAAAATACCCAATAGTTTGTTTGGTTTGGGTTGCTATGATCATGTTTAAAGCATTTACTAACGTCTAAACGTCTACGTTAAATTCATTTTGAACCACTAAGTCTAAATCAAATCTTCATTCAGGTCCTTAATAAATCAAACTTAAAAAAAAAAAAAAAAAAAATTCGCAGTTTATTGTATCTTATTTCAAAAACAATACTTGTAATATTTGTATTTAATTGTATACATTTCGGTTTTAAAATACTTCTAATTATGTGTATATATGTGTCTTCATTACTTACCTATTTATTCGAGGCATTTTGTATGGTGATTCAGTTTTTATTTAAAGGATATTTTGTTTGATTTCCGATTTGTGGCCATCCCAAGACTTTTGTTTCGTTCGATGTTCTAGATCAGGGATGGCCAACCCGCAGTACGTGTGCCATTGTGTAGTACGGCAGAGTTTTAACAGTGGCCTGCGAAGATTTATTGAAAAAACCATAATATCGTCTGTATCAACTCCGTCGATAGATATACACATTAGAATAAATATAATAATTCAAATTCTCTACAAGACGTTAATTGTTGCACAACTGAAATCCAAATCGAAAGTATTGACGTACAGCAGCATACTACACTGAAAAGTAAATACGAAGAACTTATTTCAACTGCAAGTGATCCAAATTATACTGAATTTTGGAAATTTATACCAACAAGCATTGTGAAAAAATGTTTTCTAATTTCAGAGCCAATCCGAGCATTAATGATTCCGTCATCCACCCCTTCTCTTGGTTTCGAATCAGGACATCATCTGGGAACAGCTTTTCATTCTTAGGGGTTTTAGGGCATGTTTTCCGTTTGAAGATTAAGAAAGGGGGAAGTCTGTACCCGTCTGCCAGCATCACTGTTACGCGTTGTTTTTCACATCCCGAAGTTTTGATGATAACTTCCTTAGTCCCCTTCTCCGTAATGGTGTAGTTACGAGGCATATCAAACCAAATTGGCCGTCTCGTCAGCGTTGCCAATTTGCCCCATTGAAAAATTCTTTTCCTTCCGAAGTGTGATGACATACCACTGAAATGTTAGTAGTTTTCCCTCAAAATCTGCAGGAAGCTTTTGGAATATTGTTGTACGGGAGATAAACCCATCCGCTTCATAAACCGATCCACCCATCCACGGCTAGCCTTAAACTCTTGTTTCGGTATTCCAAGAACTTCAGCTCCTCTTTTTGCTTTATTTCTTATGGTGTCACTAGTCACAGGTTGTCCATTCTTCCTCCTTTCACGTACAAATTCCAAAACTTTTTCTTCAATTTTAGGGTGTCTTCTTTGCGAGGGCCAGTGAATTTCTTTCTACTAGCTTTAGTTGCAAACAGTGCCAATTTCTGTTGCCGCCACAAGCGAACATTGCTCTCAGCTACGTTGAACTCTCTCCCTGCCTTTCTATTGCCATTTTTTTCAGCATAAAGAATTACTTTACGTTTGAAAGTAGCGTCATATGACATTCTTCTCTGTTTGCCCTCCATTTCGTGACTACGTACTCTGCAGTTTGTATCCTCTATGCAATAATGTGTCAACGATAAATGTAACGGTAAATGTAGTCGAGAAATTTGGTTGACGTCATCGGCGAACTTTGCACTCGAATCTAATGCGCCATCGAATCTAATGCGCACCCCAATATTGAATACTACATTTGGTCAAAAACGATGCGCATTAGATTCGCGTAAATACGGTAATTTTTAGCATGTTGAAAAAGTTGAAAGTGGCACGCATAAATGTTTTTCAGATAGGGGCACTCTTCCCAAAAAGGTCAGACATCCATATTCTAGATTATTTAATTATGAGTTAAGTGGCGTTGGAACTCTAAATATAACTGAAGTAGAACTAGAGATATTGACAGAAGACAACATCTGGAAACTTCTAGATAACTTGCCAACATTTTGGAAGTTTCTAGAAGATGCGTTTTCAAAATCCTATAAGGAATTTTCTTAAAACTTCCAAGTGCTTGCATGGGCCTTTGAACCCATGCAAGCACTTGCAAGTGTCCCTTTGAGCATCCTACTGCATGGGAGATTCCGAGCGGCTAATCGAGAAGTCAGTTGATTGAGATTCTCGGATCCTTTTATATATTATTGCGGTGTTTATTAAGTGACTGGTATTTTAGACTACCCTGCGAGCCATTCTGGTGATCTGCGATATTCTTAATGTGTTAAGGAAAATCTTGTTTGTTTTCCGGTTTTCTGCTTTCTCTTTTTATGTCTGTTTATCTTACTTTGTGTTTATCGTACCTAAGTCATTTTTCATCAAAATAAAGCTTCTATTCATTATTCCATTTACTTATGTAGCATGTAACCGTATGTTTCAC